AATTCTTGTTCAGTCAAGCTGTTTTGCCACAACACTTAATATTTAGTTATAAAGCTCAGCAATTATACTCCTTGGCTACCTGGGAAAGACTAATGTTGAGATTAGCATGTTAATAGGTGTGCAGAACATAGAAGACATTGCTAGTAGCACTGCCTCTTAATTACAACAGTCACTTGGCACAACCCATCACAAGGTCTGGTTTTGGTTGCTTTTGCCTTTGCCAAACTTGGAGCCAACATCTTCTAATATATCTGATTCAGTAGTTTTATTGGGTTCTTTTTGGGCTTGTTTTTAATTTCAGTCAAAACCACTTAGGTGTTTCTGAGAGCAATGCTGGCAGGGGAATATTCTGGTTTATCCACATTAAAACAAATTGTAATGACTTTTTCTTTTAAAAAAAGCAACAAACCACCTTCTGAGCAGTGTCTTGCTTTAAAATAAATCACTTTTATTTTTCCTGTCAGAAACACATCTTTTGTCATCTATTACAAAGTCCTCCCTCAAAGTTGGCTAAATAATGAGCTTTTGAGTTATTGCAATTTAAGCCTGCTCAGAAAAAATAATGGGAGATAGGAAGGACAGCTATTTATCTTTTTTTTTTTTTAAACTGTGGGCCTGATGAAAATAATAGCACATGATTTAAGACCCAGGTTACAACGTACTTTCACAAAGGCCCCTGGCTGTGGCTTTAGGGTCACCTTGTTCCAGCCTCCCCTGGCCCAGGATGCTCACTGCTCTTGGACCCCTCCTGCCCAAGGCCGAGGTCACCCTCGGGAACTGATGTCCTCACTCCACACGCAGAACTGGGGTTGCCCAGGCATGTGGAAACCGGTCTGTGAGGAAACAGGGAGGTACAGAGAGAGGAGGAGGAGAGAGGAAAAAAAACAAACAAAAACACAACTGAAAGAACAGCCAACGAAAAAAATCCAGCAGAAGAAAGGCAGACGCCCAAGATCTCTGCTGGCTGTCTTAAAAATATTTTGTGTTTGTGTTTCCACCAACTGGGGCACTCCTTTCCCTCAGGACATGTAGGGAAGCCTGGGTGCCCTAAAACTCCCCAGTCATGGCGCACACCGCATGCCCATGGCAGTGACGCCACGTGGTCCCGGCATTGCCTGCTCCCACTGGGCCTCCTAGGCATGCAGCTTGGGGCCCAAACTTGTGTCATCATTGACCTGTCCCCTCCGTTGTGCATAGGCAGCTTCAGCATGCTGCCCACCACAGCATGCAATGGCATGGGAGGCATGAGCACTGGAGATGGCACTTGGCAGCGGGACTGTCCATGAAGCCACAGCTCCAAAATGCCACGAAGGAATGGAAAGGAATCCAAAATCCTCATTAAATCTGAGAAAAAAAAGAATCATGGATAATTACCCATACATACAGAAAGATAAAGGTACAACTGTAATTATCTAGCACCATTGTTTTCAAAGCACCTACTGTAACAACATCCCTCTGCTCAGCACTGTAAGGAAAGCTAGTCACATTATTCCCTTTAGACAGCATATTAGTCCTTGGCTTCTTTGATCTGTGCTTGCTACCATCTCTGTTCTGCCAGGGCAGCCAGCCTGAGAAACTCACTTGTGCCTTCTGGCCACTCTGGTTGCTGCACCTCTTGTCATGCTGTCTTTTTATTCATTAATCCTTCCCCTCCCAGTTTTTTCTCCCCCCCTTTTTTTTTCTTGCCAAAGCAAGGAGTTTTTAATAGCTGAAGAACGAAAACACCTCCCACGCCTCGCCTCAAAAAAGCTAACTCTCTGTCTTACTCACTCTTTTAGATTTCCAAACCTCTCCTAACTAGCTTAGAGTCTTCCTTTGAAGTACTGATTCCTCAAATACTAGCACGTGAGTATAACTTCAGTAAACCATGCAGTTCCAATGGCCTTGAGAGGACAATCCATGTGAGTAAATAAATCAGATGTGGAATGGAGACCATGGCATTTATCAGAGATGGAAAAGTTTTTTGTTCAACATTGTGATTTGATTGGAAACAAGATATTACAAAGGACTTCAATCCAGTATGGAGTAGTATCTGCCTTGCAGAAAATTTTAATAGTAGGCTTGGAGGTCTTCAGGGTGCTTAGGTCATATTGATGCAGGTGATTGACTAGATAATCTTTGGATGCTTCCTCTAACACTGCTTATTCTGATTCACCATGGTCAAATGAAGGAAAACATAAATTGAAACAAAGAACAATTGCTTTGGCTTTCTCATTTCCATGTGTGAAACCAAAGTGCAGTGTGGTTCAATGGTATTGGTTTTGTTTGTTAGTTTGGGGGGGGGGGTGGGGGGGTGGTGTTTGTCTTTTGGTTTGGTTTGGGGTTTTTTTTTGTGGGGTTTTTTTCCCTTTAAAGTATATTAAGCATTTCCTTGACTCCACGATCACCTGCATATGTGGTGTACTGTTTGCACAGATTAATTTTAGACCCTCAAATTTTGCCATTATCAAAAGAGAATGTCCCTTCCCATCATCTTTGTGATGATTCCAACATCAACAATGGTCAGCTGTGCTGTATATTTGCATCTGTGGGAATGACTACAAAGATCCAACTTTATAGACTGTGGAAACAAGAACTATTCTTCAACTGTCAGTCTAGCCATAGCAGTGTGGAGTTCCGCACAGTCTTCTCCATTTCTGGACTGAGGTTTGTACCCTGCATTGTGCTCCATACTGCTGGAGTGAAATTCCTAGCAACACCCAATTAAAACAAGCATTGAATGTTTACTCCTCATCACTGCCACTGCTTTGACTGCAGTGTAAACGCACCACTAATGACTTGGACGATGGGAGGGGAAAATTACATGTCAAAGCCAAGTACAGAACCAGGAATTTGGGCCATCAGCCAGCTGGTTAGATCACGCTGTGTGCCTCTAATGAAATGCATTGATTTGTGACTCTTACAATAACGTTTTTAGGAAATAATTTCACTGGCTATTTATTTGTGCGTTGGAGCAGCCTGCTGAGATTGGAAAACTAAAGCAGACACTGTGCCTACCTAACAAGAGCAAAATTTTAAGAATGAAGTTAATTAACCTTTGGAATAAATTTTCTAAGGATGTGATGGATTCTCAATCATATTCTGCTGCATGGTTGATACCAGTTAGTTGTATAAAATATGTGTTATAGCTCCAGCGTGAATTCTATGTATCACTAGAAATTCTTGTCTGAAGTTCTTTGGGTTCTGTTACACCCCAGATCAGACTATGTTACTGTAATGGTTCCTCTTGGTGACCAAAAACGCATGAGTCTGTAGCAGTCATCGAGTCTGGGTGTTTGTGATTCTGTGTAGTAACAGACTGAGATCTCGTAAGTGGTAGATTTAAAACTAGCAACAATTTCATAAAGGTGACTACCAAATTACAAAGACTCATTCTGCAGAAGTGGATGCCCTGCCAATCCTGCGGCTGGTATAACGTGCTGTGATGATTTAGCGAGCTCAGAAAGAATTAAACCATCAATAAAATGACAGACTTGGTACATTTCAAAGCATCTGGTCAGATCTCATGGGATTTCTTGGCTGCTACACGTTCAGTCAGAGAGAAAGAAATAGTGGAGAGAGTCCATGACCACTTTGTAGTATTTCACTGGATACCTCAGAAGAGCAGATGAGGATAGTGAGCACTGGATAAGGTAAGCACTTATCTACTTGGGGGTTTGTATAGACTGGCTCCTCTTTAATATCCTTATAGAGCTACATAAAAATTCATGTTTTTCTTGTCTGCTTACAGTTTACGGTTAGCTAAATTACATAAATAACTTTTTTTTCTCTGTGCTAAGGTAAACACATTCTAGAGATGCCAGAGTTTAAGGGCTCTGTGAAAAGCAACTCCCTAGTCTTATATATAATATATAGTCTTATATTTCCTATCTAGAAATTGAGACACCTAGAATCTCTAGTGTGTCCTCAAAGTCTGTGTTGCTGCACCTGATTTTATCTTCTTTTCACGTCAGCTTTCTGTGTGGTTTTTGAATGGCTGATAACCAGAAAGATTAGGGGGGAAAAATCCAGCCAAGTAAAACTTGTTTTGAGGGGAGTGGAGTGGGGGGGAAAGTAAGAAAAAAAAGGTAGAAGGAAAATAAAAAGTAGTTAGGTCCCAACTGATGGACTTGTTTGTCCATCTCTAAGATACATTTGCTTATTCCAATTCAGTTATTATTTCTGTTCTGCCACCGTCTTGATGTCATGTCTAGCAATGTAAGCTGCTCATGTTTTAAAACAGAATTCACCTTTAAATGTGCTTAGACAGGAAAAAATATGACTGGTGAGGTCATTTTCAGAGCAAGAGTTAATGCATCATGCAAACAGCTAAATAAAGGTTACAATCTGAGTGGAATTATTCAGAGCTCAGGGAGAAATCTGGCATTTGCAGTCTGTCACTGAGTGAGAAGTGTGGCTCTCTCTGTGTCACTGCCACTTGGAGACATCCTGCTTTCTATGTGGCAGCAAGGGAGGGGACTGCAGGGCTGAAGGATCTCCCTATAAAAACACTAAGAACAGGAGCAGTGGAAAGTGTCATGTGCGAGGAATGTGTGGAATGAGGGGTGAGTATGAGCCTGTCTTTGTCCAGGTTTTCACAGAGCAACTTTATGGTGTAAATAGCCACTCTTCCTCCTCTCTTTTCCTCTACAGGACAGCTCAAGAGCCAATGTCAGGACAGCACATGATTCCTGATATGCCTGGGGAGAATCGATGCAAGGGGGGCTATGAACAGCTGTATGACGCTTAAGACCCACCAGTTAAGTATTGCAAATTTTGGGCCCTATGTGGTAAGGTCTCCTTGCCCTTCTTTTCCACCAGCATCCCTGGGAGTTGAGTGTGTCACTTTGGGACAGAATACACCCAAAGTGTGTGTGATAGAGCCAGGATAAAAATGCATCACTTGTAAACGCCCAGGCTTTTTTAGAGTTGGCAATCTGCATAGAGGTGCTGTGCTAAGACTGTGTTCTGCACTTCATTTCCTTGTTTTGTTTCTGTAAGCCAAGAATTTGGCTGATTGCACAGGAAAGCAACTGCTACGGGCACTCATTTCAATGGGTGAATTTTAAACGAGTCACCAGGGACTGGCTGCTGCTAAGTTCAAAGAGAAAGAAACATCCAAAAACTCGAGCCAAGCCAAATTTTGGTGGGAAATATCAGATACAAAAAGGGCAAAACTGGAAGGCACAGTAGGGCGAAAGACAGATACAGTTTCATTTTCCTGTCCATAATTGGTCAGATTAAAGCAGGATTGGAATAGAGATTTTTAAAAAACCCAGTAAAAACCTAAACCAAAACCAAATAAACCCCCCCTTATTTTGCTAAGGGAAGCTTGCTGAACATAGGAAACATGCTCTGGTGTTGGTGTTCTATAAGCTGTGTGCAATAATCTGGAGAAAGTTAAAAAGGCACTTGACAAAATATTGGGGAAAGTATTAGAAAGAATAGTTCCATGGATGGCAG